TTCTGGGCTAATACTCCTTTGGTGTCATCGAACTAGCAAAGAACAGTTAATTTTCTATTATACTTATCTCTCAAGCGCGTATAAAATTTACTTCAAGTAATAAGGAGACCAACGGAACTGACATGAGTTATCTCATACGATTATTAAAACTAGTGAAACCGACTTAGAATGAAATTAGTATTGCAGTTAGATTTTATGAAAATATAGCTTCTTTATCTAATCTTGCATAAATTATTTATAGGTAAATAATGTAAATGTATATTAATGCAATCGATTAGCTGGAAATCTATCTACCTAAGTGGAGAGACTTTTTTGTAGAGAAGTTTCTAAAGGAATTCAGGATACATTTACGTTATTCTTGGATAAAATCCTGAAACTATCTATAGTGGATGGACAAAAATATGGAAACACCTTGTGAAATGCATGTTTGAAAAGAAAGATTGATTTTAATGAAATATGTAGGTGGCGCTGGCGTTTTTGACTACGACGCCACCTATACAACTTCGTAAATGTGCTAAACAGTTCAGTTGTTGTCGGAGTAACTGTTATGTGAGGTTGTCATTGCATTATGTCAGAGTTAACAGACTTCGAAACGTGGGCAAATTGTTGGAGCACGTATGGAGGTGCTTCCGTAAGCAAGGTAGCCGAGGTGTTTAGTGTTTCAAGAGGTACTGTATCGAAGATTTATTCCGCATATTTGAAAAGCGGAAAAAACATCATCTGCTAAATCACAGCGCGGACGAAATTGTGTCCCGAGTGATCGTGACAGACGATCATTAAGGGCAATTGTGACGAAAAATAAGAAGACCACAGTTGCAAAAGTTACTGCTGAAATGAATGTGTGTTACCGAACCCTGTGAGAGTACCAAAACAATTAGAAGGGAGCTTCATAAACAGGGAATTGCGGCCGTGCTGCAATTGAGAAGCCACTCATCAGTGATGCTAATGCCCGTAACTGGAAAAGGTGGTGTTTAAGTCATAAGCCTGGACTATAGAGCAGTGGAAAGCGAGTAGTATATATGGTCTGAGGAGTCTTCTTTCACATTGTTTCCCACTTCTGGCCGAGTTTACGTCTGGAGAACGCCATCTCAAGCCTATAATACAGACTGCTTGTTGCCAAGAGTGAAACATGGCGGGGGTTCTATTATGGTTTGGGCAGCCATATCGTGGTTGTCTGCTAGCCCCATGATAACTGTGTCAGGGCACATGACTGCCAAGACTTATGTGAGCATTGTGGCCGATCAAGTTCATCCCATGGTACAAACTTTGTTCCCCGATGATGATGGTGTCTTCCAAGACGACAAAGCCCCTGTTCACACAGCTCACATTGTCAAGGACTGGTTTTCTGAGCACGAGGATGAGTTGTCCCGTCTCCCCTGGCCACCACAGTCACCGGATCTGAATATTATCGAACCTTTGTGGTCTACATAGGAACGGAAAGTGCGTTCTCGTTATCCAACGCCAACATCGTTATCTGAACTTGCCACCGTTTTGCAGGAAGAATGGGAATATAATTTCTCTTGGCAAACATACAGGAACTGTATTTATCCATTCCGAGAAGACTGCAAGCTGTTTTGGATGCCAACGGGTTTCCTACACCATATTAAGCAAAGAAACATGTTTTTTAAAGGTGTTTCCATATTTTTGTCCAACCCCTGTATATAACCAGCTAAGATTTGTACTTAATTACTGTCGTTTCGCTTATCTGTTCCAGCCAGTTGCGGTTAATATAGTGAATATCTACAGCAAGCGCCGGTTATTGTTATCAAGTTTGTCTACGGTTAATTTGATAATGTTAACCGAATGGTAATGCTAAACAATGAGAAAAAAATATCTTTCAAAAGAGCAAAGGAAGTTAATTAATTTAATATAAATATAACTATAAATGCATAAATCGATATTTTCAGTGCCTTTTAATTTTAATTAGGAAAATGAAAAAGCTTTTTTATGAACTATTCGTAATGCTTTTAAGTAAACAGTTCATTTATGAACTGTTCATAACGTTTGTGAAAATTATTTGATCGATTCCATACCTTTAATCCCTCATTGGAAAAGTATATGTCAATGTAAAAGTTAAAATTAGGCAAAAAAAGCAACCTTAGTTTGGCAGCGATAATTTCAAGGGGATAAAAAAAATCTGCAGAATTTTTTTTTGCTTTTAAAGATGAGGGATTGTCTAAAAACGGATAGATTTCTTCAAAATATACTTCGTACAAAGGTTGTTTTTTTATTTTTTTTAATCTAATTTTAAATGACTGACTAAATTTGAAACCAACCTGTTTAGGGACTTAGGGTATCCGACCTCGTTCGGGTACCATTTTTTTAAAAATGGTTTTTATTTTAACTATAAACATATTAATTTGAAGATAAGCATATTAATGAGCGAAAACAATTTAAAACGTAATGCTAAGTAATTTTAATTTTGAAAAATAAGGAAAAAAAAAGGATAATTTTTGCTTAAATTTTGCCTTTACAGCAACAACCACGGTGAACAATGTATATATAAATATGCAGTTTTTTTTATTTGTATTTATATTTACACTTGTTTTGTATGCAATGAAGCAAAATAATTATGAAATATTCATATATTCTTGAGATATGTCAAAATATACAATATATACTGTATATTTTCCTATTATTGCATCCAAAATCTAAAAATAAAAAGTAACAATTCAACTTCTAATTAATATTTCTAAAATCTTTTGCTTCAGAGCATGCATCAGATTATATGAAACATGTATAGAAAGTATCATTAAATTTTATGCATAAAATTTTGAGTTATGGCTGTTACCATTGGCAATATTTACAGAAAAAAAACATTTTTCAGAAAACAATTTTAAAGTTTTCATAAAACAATTTCTTAGTGAAAGAAGCATCCCTGATAATTAAAATTCCCCTGCTTTGTAACTTAACGCCTTGTTTTTTTCTTCCCACACTTTGCACCTTTTCTTTCTAACAAGGCGTAATTTTTTCTTTGGGTTGTAAAAAAATTACATAAAGTCATAATTTTGCACTTTATCAAGTTTTCGAATTCCCTGCTCAGTGTAAAATTCAGGGCACATACCAAACCTTGAAAATGCTTCAAGCAAACCTATAAATCCATCATTAAATAACATTAAATAACCCAACATTTACATTTGCTCCAAACATTAATATTCGCAAGTTTATGAATGTTTCTTTCGGAACAATTTGCAATAAAATGCCATTAAAACGTTCCTTGATATTTTGAGTTTTGCCATGTAGACGCTTTTTAATAACTCTTGTTTATGTAGTCAACTCCATATATGTAGGTTTAATTAAAATTCAAAATACTATATATTGATATACCAGGGGGTTTTGCCTAATTTTTTTCTTTCTGATTTTTTTTTCCTGATTTCTGCAATCACACATTCATAGTTGCACCAATTCATTGAATTATTCGAGCAGGGGGCATTGGCTTCGAAGAAGAGCTACAATGGAACAAGCAGTTAGTACAACCTAACTGCTGCATCTCAATTAAGTTTCAAACATGACTTCTAATTGCAATCCCTAATTCTGCAGTTTATCAATAAAAGAATCAGTCAGTTTACCTTTTCCTTTCAATTCAGGAACGGAGTTTTTTTTTACTTTTCGTAGTCCATACTACCAACCCTTTTCTGTACATGTTCAATGCATTCCACTTTCTTGACCGAATCTTTACCATATATATCTTTTCACAATTAAAAACCCCTTAGAATCCCCATCCTCGTTAATACTCCGTGTACTTCAGCTTTCGTAAAGTAAATAGATCATTCAAACAGGGGATAAGCACCAACTGCTTTCCATACCCGAAGCTGCTTCTTTATAATTTGCAAAACAATTATATTACGCTTTACATATGTCGTGCTGAAGATTGTATGCCATTCTGTTTATTTTATTGCAAATGATGTAAAAATGTGACATAGCTTTCAAATCAAGCACTTTGTCAACGCTAATCGACAAAGCAGCAACACATACATTCAACGTCGAATATCCTCTGCGCCAAACTAAATACGAAATTAAGGGAAAAAACTAACACCAGGTTCTTAAAGTGTATTACAAAATATCTAAAATTAGTACGCAGGTTTATAATTTACAAAATTTTGATGATAAATAAAGTTTCTAAATAGGTATATCTATTTAAACGCTCACTTCCGGCCCAGAATATTGGAACTTCCGGTTTATTCAGTTACAGAAAAATGCTTATAACTTCATTTCTAATTAACCTATCAACAAGCAAAAACTTGTATTTGATAGCTAAAGATGTATTCTTTAAGATACTGTAATAAAGTAAAAATCGAAATTTTGACCGAAAATCGTCTTTTGTACGAAAGTCGGATACCTTAATGCCTTACTTGGCAATATTTCTCTGTCACTTAGTCATTTTTTATAACCTAATTTGAACTTATTTGGCGACATTATCATTTATTTGGCGACTTTGCTTCAGTTTAAAAAATTTATTCCTTAATATTTTTATCATATTAACCGAACAGTTTGATAACAATATCAGAATGATTACATTAATCGAAATCGTACTTAGCAACGTCTTCAGTACATAATAATCAGATGTATTTCAAATAATATATACGAAACTGCTTAATACATAAAGAAGCACAAGCCATGGCGAGAAAATAAAACTAGATGAAAAAAAAAATCGTTAAACTTTAATGATTTAATAATGATAAAATGATTTACGATTCTCGAAGAGACTCACAAAACTCCAGAATTTTTGTGAATCATTTTGAGAACTGTAAATTGACTTTTCTAAGCAAATTATCACAGATGGTAAGAAAAATGTCACGGATAAAATAGTAATAAACAAATAAAACAGCAATAAATAAAGCATCACACATACTTTTATGAAACCCATCTACTTATTGTAAACCACTAAATGATCTTTTTCAAAAATTTTACTTCTAAATTTCTTGCTAATTTTGAATTAACAAAAGAACAAAGTCTTCATTCATATCCGAACATATCACAAATTAAAAATTAATCAAGAAAAATTTCACAATGATTCATTCGTTTGCAAATCTGTATTGATTACCAATAAAATTTACCATCATAAAGACAAAAGTGCAAGCTTGAGAGCAAATCAATTCGAAAGTGAAGCTGACTGTTCCAATCTCAGCCGATTGGCCATTCATTATTCTTTCCTTTGTACGAAATCCAGGCACGTCCAGCGACAGGATGAGGTAAGCGTCCAGGCTTTGCCCAGTAGTGGTTCGTATGTGATCTCCAGCCGGTTGCCAGACCAGGTTCGTCATGCAGCCCCCCTCTGCAATTGAGAAATTTCAAGTCAAAGGTTAACACGGAGAAGTGGGACAAAAATTCAGTTCGTAAAATAATATTTGGATTTTCATATAAAGATTACTTGTTAAATAAAGAGAAACAAAATGTTCTAATTGTTGTATGGAGGTAATGGAATGTTTAATAAAGAATGCAACAAATCAAAATCGTAAACACAACCTTGTATTTAGCGTAAGTATAATGAAACACTCAATCGATTTCGAGGGCAGCTAAAGGTCCCTCCTCATCAGGAGAAAGAAATATCTAGAAAGAAGAAAATAAAGGAGAAGGAGTCTCAGAAACACGTGGTCCTTATCAACACTGCACGTGATTATAACTGGATTTTTAATCAGAGTTGGAATAGCCGCCTACTTTTACTGAGCCAGGCTATCTGATCAAGATTGGCAACAATTTGAAAAGCGATAATTTTTCTTGTCCTTTTTGCTTGATCAGATAGCCTGGCTCAGTAAAAGTAGGCGGCCAGTGCAACTCTGATTAAAAATCTAGTTATAATCACGTGCAGTGGTGATAAGGACCACGTGTTTCTGAGACTCCTTCTCCTTTATTTTCTTCTTTCTAGATATTTCTTTCTTCTAATGAGGAGGGACCTTTAGCTGCCCTCGAAATCGATTGAGTGTTTCATTATACTTACGCTAAACACAAGGTTGTTTTTACGATTTTTGATTGTCACAGTAGCGTGTTTCTCTTCTAGTCTAATGCAACAAATGTTCATAATCTAATATAGTACAACCTTGCATGATTACGATCCCACGGAAGAATTATTTAATTTTACAGACTTCTAATTTACAAACTGGTCTCTTTTCCTAGAGCTTGAATTCACTGTACAAGTTAACTCATTTGTAGACTTTTCAAACTTCTGATAGTATTAGACTGCTTCTAAAAATAACAATATTTTCTCTTATTAATTTTCTAGTTCCCTCTCAGTTTTGATATCGTAAATTGTAACATTATTTCTCAAATAAAAAAACCACAAGAAATCAAACCCCGAACTTCCTATTTATTGAGAACCTCAACTGAGACTTCACATAAATAACATCACTAAAATGTACAGCCTATGAAACTCTTCTTCAGCAATCCTCCTGTCCTTGAAATGTTCCAATGATGCTGTCTTGGAACATGCAGCTTTTGGAACGAATAAAGATTTAAATTTCAAAATATTCAGAAATCACCTGGTCTCGGTTAAGACGAATATGGCGAAATTTGAGAATTTTACAGGTAACTAAAAATCCATTGTGCAATGAGACATAAAGGGTATAGGAACACAACTGTTCGTCTACGCATTTAGTCAGTAATAGCTTTTTGTTGGATAATATTATAAGTCAAATGTTTTTGTTTGATGGAAGGGATGAATCTCACTGATTTGAAAATTATCTCTTAACTGTCCTGCTTGCTAGGGAATGAACAAAAAACATTCATTACAAAAATTTAAAGATTGTTTATAACAGTGTTTCCAAAACATTTTAGTCTCATAGCCCACATGCATGTAAATGCCACTTATTGTGATTCACATGTGTATAGTTGTTTTGAGAAAATTAAAAAAAAAAAAAAAAAAAAAAAAAAAAAAAAGGTTTTTAAGAGAAAATAGTGCAATTATGAAGCAATAATATATAAACATGTAAAAGTATTAAGAATTAAAATGGTAATTACATATTAATTCACAGTTGTAAAAAGGTAAATATATACGGGGGCAATCGCAAAAAAAAAAGGTCTCCTATATTTTTAGATGTACAAAGAAACATTTATTTTCTATAATTGCTACATCTCTTTAAAGATTGAAGAATGCTTTATTTTTCAAACGTAATCGCCATTTCAATCGAGGCATTTTTGTAGATGCTGTGGCAGTTTTACAATGCCCATGTCATACCAGCTTGCCGCCATGCCCTTCAGGAAGTGTTGACCCTCATCTTTCCAAGAAGTCCAAGAAGTTGTCCTTTTCGTCTCCATAGCGGCGAAGAAATTCGCGGGAAGAATTAACCCGTTGCTGTTTGTGGTCTTCTGTCAACATACGCGGCACCCATCTTGCACACACCTTCCGATATTGCAACTTTTCCGTTAAAATCCCGTGGATGGTGCTTCTGAAAACCTCAGGAACCAAAATGCAGACAGCATCCAGAGTGATCCTCCGATCTTTACGCACAAGTTCCTTAACTTTCGCGATTGTCTCATCGGCAATTGACGGCCTCCCGCTCCTTTCTTCGTTATGAATTTCAGTACGACTGGCTGTAAACTCTCTACACCACTTGCGAACTTTTTTGACATCCATGCACGACTGTCCATACACTTCCGTCAATAGGCGGTGAATTTCAACCAGTTTAACGCCTTTTGCATTCAAAAATCGAATAACTGCGCGCACTTCGCACTTGGCGGTAACGTTTATCGGGAGCTCTATTTCGAATGGCTGCCAAGCCAAGACTGAGCATCCGAGCGAAGCGCCTGCGTGCTTATGTGGTAGTGGAGAATGCACCACTCACAACAGTGTTGCCAACAACCGTATTAAAACTTTCTCTACGTCCCCAAAAAATAGGAGACCTTTTTTTTGGGATTGCCCTCGTATATGATGTATGTAATATACATTGAGAAAACTGGAAAAACAAATTGGGAATTACTGATCTGCAAGATTCTTACCTTCGAGACTCATGCAACGAGAGTACATTCCTGGGGGTATCTCAGGCCACCACTTGAAGAAGAGTCCATAGTTGGGTGCAGTGGAGGGTGGACAAGGCTTGCAAGCTAGAGAAGAAACAGAACAATATACAACGGTATGTTTCAGAATGATGTATTATTCAAAATTTGAAAAAAATTACGTCTGTAAACCCTTTTCTTAAAAAGGAGCTATTATGCAACTTCGAACTCGAGTTAAAAAAAATTCATTTTTAGTTATTTCACTATTAACCAAATTCAGATATTTCTGATTTTTGTTACCTGTGAATCAATAATAATTGATAGTTAAAGTAATGATTTAATGCTTTACCTAAACTTCAACTTATCAGGTTCAGTGTTCCTCCTTACTTGCTTGGGGAACATTAAATGACCTGACTCGGAACAGGGAGTTTACTAAAGCTATGTTCAATAAATGTGGGAAGTAGACAAGATACACAGGAAGGGTATACGAAACCCTTTATTTTTCTCTCTTTACAATGATTTCCGGACTTCGGAATACAGAGACCAACCACTTGTGGTCTGAACGTAAGAATATAAAAATATTAACTAAACTCTAACTAGACTTAACTTTGGATTAATAAACAAGTGGCTACTTGAAGATTGGCCGTAAATTAACAGAAAGGCCGTATGTAGTACAGAGAACTGTTAACACTACGATACGTTTAAAATTATCAAGAGGATTAAACCTCTGGCCTTGAAGGCAACCAGCAACCGAGTAAAACTGCAATGGCAAGCGGCCCGCTCCTAATCACTCCTTCCTCTCTCTTGCTTGGCAAAAAGCCACAACTTAAGTACTTGGCGTTAGCAAGACAAATTTGCATAAATAAGTTAAAGCTTTTAATTCTGGCCGGAAGTAGAAAATAAGAAGTGATAGTAAAGATTTAAAATAAAATAAACGTTAGTAAAACTTAAGATCCTTACAAACTTTTCACAACTTCAAAATTTCAACTGAAGCTCCTTTTGGGCACAAAAATGCATGGAATCACCATAGAAAAAAAGTGGTAGGAATAACTTTTGTAAAAGGATAAGATTCAAAACTGAAATGAATATATAAAAACAATTTATTGCATTTGAAAGTTTGCTTAGACCTGAAGTTGAATCGAAATAGTTTAACCTTATGAAGACTATTTTTGTAATACTGAAGTGCTCTTCTATTTGTTTATTTTAAATTCTTCTTTTTTATTACTTGCGATCTTATTATTATAATTTTTATCTTATTATTTTATTTATTTATTTCGTTAGAAGTTTAGACGTTTTCAAACGTAAAAATCTCAAGTATTCATAATCTATTCGGAACAGATTCAAATGCTGCAGGTCTCATAACTACCAAGGGCAGATCTTTTTTTATGTATAATTATAATGAACAAGTCTTGCATCAGCCGAGAAAGACAGAATTTGAGAGCCCATGCTAATTTAGAACTGGTTATTTATTCAGCCTATTATTTGCAACCCTTTTCTTTTGCGCACTTTTTATTGTGCAGTTTATAAAATATTTTCTTCAGTAGGATTTATTTAGCTTTACTAACCAGTTATTTTATATTTACTGTCTTTCTCGTTTTCCGTTTTCCTGCCAGAATGCTAGTAGAAAAGAAATAGTATTTAATGGATGGTTTTAGAACTTAGAATCAGAGCGTGTTCTACCTGCTGAAGGCCACGTTTGCTAATTGATTTTCTTGAGTGCAGCACATATGTGGGGTTACATTATTCTCTCCATTAGGATTATCCCACCAATATTAGGTCTGAGCCTAATTGCGGTTTCTATGTGCGTAGCCATTGGACTAGCTTGCACTTCACTTAGTTAAATTCGCTACTTTTGATTTTAAGCCATAAAATGATGGCTGGTTTTGAAAGCACGAGCTGTTAAACTTTTATGAGTTAAATAATAGAGTCTTTTACACCCTTCGTATGCTTCTGTCGTAATTTCAAAGACATAGTGATAAATCACTTGGGTTTTTACAATTTTAATCTAATTTATGTTACCAAAGAAGACGAAAGTTTGTATCTTTTTTAGGCGAATGGAGCATGTAGGAAATAGAAGAGTTCAAGAATTAAAAAACTAATGGTTGCTTATGTCGAAATATTAAAATAGCTTTGCATGACAAACTTACGTTCTGAACCGTCAGAATAATGATCCTTTGCACAAAATGCGCACATGGATTGGTTGGAATATTCCATCCCTGGATTGCAAGGAGGACAAGGTGTCTTGTCGGTAATTGTGGGCAGAGGAACGGAATTAGGCACATCATCTCGGCAGATCTTCGGTTCCATCCACTTATAGACAATTTGTGTCATTTTCATATCGTCACACGGCGTGTGCATTTCATAGAAGTCTTGCTTGGTGCACGGAGGTCTCTCCAGACACTTTGAAGAGCCTTTGGCTGTAAAATAAATTCGTAAGAATCTGTAAGTTCAATATATGATGCAAGATTGAGAAACAATTTTAGTAAGAAAAAAAATGTTTGTAATATTATGAATCTACTGGAGGAAAAAATGCAACTTATAAAAAAAAAAGGAAACTTAAAATTAGAAATTTCATATTTTTCTACTAGTTTTCACTTTTAGATGTCTTCACATGGGATAATATCAACACGAGTATTTGGCCTGTGACACATTTTCTCACACGAAAGAAAACATTTAACCTGAAATAGTGGTCTGAGACTAGAGACTTACTGCCCGCATGCGGCCCCAGAAGCAATTTTATGTGGCCCGCGAAGAAATTTCAATTATGTACCTTTTGCAAATACGGTATTGAAAGATTTCAAGATTTTAGTTATTGGAAGTCCAAGTTTATATTACCTTCACTCCCGTTAAAAACAAACATTGAATAAGGCACCAGGAAATTAGTAAATGGAGTTGACTGTTTTACAGTGTGATATAAATCTGATTCAAAGATTTGAAGATGCAGATTTTGTTAACTTTTAATTTTTGTGTCCGAGTACATTTTATATGTGAACAGCGTTTTTTTTACAGCTGAAAATTAATATGAAAAAAAAAATGCGATCGACCTATAAGCACCTAAAATCCGTGACGAAGAACTTTCTTGTAATTTCTCTCTGTAATTTCTTTCTAGTAATAACCAATTTTAAGGCTACAAACACTATCAGAATCAAAATGCCACTAAGTGTCAGGCTGCAGTAAGAAATAAAGAAATTTGTAACTAGCTACGAGGCTTATTCGGAAACTAAGTACCGTTTTGAAAAAAAAAAAACAATAGTAAAACAATTTTTTCGAATCCAATTTTATTTTTACATGAAAATACATGTCTTAAACTATTTTTCAACATAGTTTCCGCCAATGATCAAACACTTGTCATAGCGGGTGACCAGTTTTTGTATACCATCGTCAAAGAAACTTCCCGCCAGTTTCGATAACCACGACTCCACAGCATTTTTCGCGTCATCATCAGATCCAAAGCGCTTGCCACCAAGCTCGAGCTTCATGTGCAGGAACAAGTGATAGTCGGACGGCGCCAAGTCCGGGCTGTACGGCGGGGGATCGAACTGATCCCAATGAAACTGTCGAATTAACGATTGAGTGACACCAGCAGTATGGGGCCGAGCATTGTCATGGAGCAACAAAATTCCTTTACTGAGCATTCCTCTTCGTTTGTTTTGAATGGCACGCCTTAGTTTTGTTAAAGTCTCACAGTATAGTGCCGCATTAATGGTTTCACCTCTCGGAAGAAATTTAGTAAGCAAAACGCCTTTCTTATCCCAGAAGACAGTGCACATGATTTTTTGTAATGACATTGTCACTTTGAACTTTTGTTTTTTTTCGGAGAATGAGTGTGTCTCCACTCCATCGATTGTTGTTTCGATTCTGGTGTGAAATGACACACCCAAGTTTCATCACCTGTCACAATTTGGTTTGAAATTTGAAACGTTTTCTCCCTCATCACTGTACCGCGTGAGAAATGTCAGGGCACTACCAAGTCGCTTTGTTTTGTGAACATCAGTGAGCATTTTTGGAACCCATCGGGAACACAGTTTGCGATAATTCAAGCGGTCAAACACAATTTCGAACAAAACAGTACGTGAAATTTGTGGAAATGCCTCTGAAAGAGTTGTCATTGTGAAGGGTGTTTTCATGAATTGCTTCCTCAACTTTCCTTACCAAATCATCGGTGACAACAGAAGGTCGACCACTCCGAGCCTCGGCGTGGACATTTGTTCGACCTGCATTAAACATTCTTACCCACTTTCTCACCATTCCATCACTTATCGCGTATTCACCGTAAACCTCTGTCACTTGACGATAAATTTCGGCCGGTTTAACATTCCTCGCGTTCAAAAATTTAATCACGGCACGAATCTCACAGTCAGCGGGAGAACTAATTGTTTTAAACATTTTGAATGTGCACAGCAAACTGAAAACACAACATAGAGCAAACAAAATGGCGACAATGGAAAGTCAGTGAACTAGAAAGACTAGTGCGCATGCGCAGGACGCCTACCACTGCGCTGCGACGGCGCTAGAATGAAACGGTACTTAGTTTCCGAATACGCTACGTATATAAAAAATATGTATTTTTACCTATGCATGGAAGAAAACTTTAATAACTAAGAGAAAGAGACTAGGTTGTTGTTATTTATTCTCAAGTTTTATCAGACTTGATAAATGGTCTCTGAAAACTTGAAAAGTTTTTATAATTGTATTATTTTTAGCTTAAATTAAAGTAACTTATTTAATAATTAAGTAAGTTTGTTAGTATTTGAAAGAAATGTCAGTCTGAAGAATTTAATATTTAACTCTCAAAACATCGGAATTTTAAAGTGTAACCAAGAATAATGTTTTACCGGTCCCAAAATTTAGATTTCAAACAAGAAATAAATATAAATTTGAATAGCTTTCCTTTGATATATTATTACTGTTATTTATGTATGTTTTGATAATTATTTAGCAAGTGAAATTAAACATTTATTTGAAATATTTCTTATTTACGTAGTAAAAATTTTTATTTTGTTAAAATAAAATTTCTGGTTCGTCAGCTGTTTCCATATTGCGAATTTGGCGCGCACGCAATTTCAGCTTGAAACCACCGAAGTAGAATTTTGGAATTTCTGCCCAAGACAAAAATTTAGAATAATGCATTTGGTTCAAGCAATAACTGGATAGGCGAATCTTTCATTAATACATAGCATATTAACTTCACCAAACACTTACGTGTTATACTTAACGAAATACTCATTTGATGCACCTGCATGAAACTTATTATTGCTGACAATGATTGGATTATCTAGTTTCAGGCAAAAACTTCAAGCTCCCATTTAACAGGAAATTCTGTACTTAAAAAATATATATATATACACTGGTGTGCAAAAATTAAGGACGAGACGGTTTTTTCAATATAACTTTGTACAAAAGCTTTCCAAATCAACACATTTAATACCGTAAGATCCCCAATACGTAAGGACATGAGTAATGTAAGCAACACTTACTAAAAGAGAAATCAGAGGGATAAAAAGAAGCTTTATTGAAAAAAATAGCATGGAGCGCAATGCGACTGAAGCCGAAACATCCCTGTGATGGGTGTCCAGCAAGAAACATCCGGTCTTTAATAGGGGATATGATCTCCCCTGACTGCTAGGCAGGTTTCACAGCGTCTGCCCATGCTGAGAATGAGGGTGTCAATGAGTTGTTGAGGCATTGCTGCCCATTTGTCTTGCAGCGCCAATTGAAGCTCCGGAATCGTTACTGGTGGTAAGGTACGAGCTGCCAAGCGTCTGCCTAGAAAATCCCATACATGCTCGATGGGATTGAGATCCGGAGATCGTGCCGGCCAATCCATACGTTCAATATCCTCACTCTCTAAGAGCTGTTCGGCAGCTACTGTGCGATGACATAGTGCATTGTCGTCCATGAAAAGGAACTGCGGACCCATAGCGCCTCTAAAAAGACGCACATATGGAAGAAGAATCTCGTTACAATAACGGGTCCCGTTGACTGAACCTGCGTCGAAGATGTGAAGATCTGTACGACTATCAAGCATGATGCCTCCCCAAACGAGAACACCGCCACCTCCATACCTGTCCCTTTCAATGATGTTCGAGGGACGATTGCGGCTTCCCCCGCTCTTTCCAGATGAGTATGCGATGAGAATCGCTACTCAGACTGAATCTGCTCTCATCTGTAAAGAGTACTCGTCCCCATTCATTGTCTCTCCAATTCCGGTGTTCCCGGCACCACAGAGAACGCCTTCTCCGATGAACAGGTGTTAGAGGTACACACCGTACAGGGCGTCCTGCAAACAGACCACCACCGTGCAGTCTTCTGGCCACGGTAAAACGCGATATCGGTCGTCCAGTCGCCTGTGTCCTGTGTCTAGCGATTTCTCCCGCTGTCTGCCGCCTGTTTCTTCTGGCCTGTAAGGCAATATACCGGTCATCTGCGGGTGTGGTTCCTCGTGGAGGACCACTACTAAACCCCCGGATAGCTGTTCCTGTAGTTTGAAATTGTCTCCAAAGTCGTGAAACGATGCTGTGAGCAATTCCGAACTCTGCAGCCACACCTGTCACACTGCGGCCTTCCTCCAACTTCCCAATGATTCGACCTCGGGTAAAAGCATCCAGATGTCGTCTAACAGATTGATTATTCGCCATTTCTCGCTGAGGCAGCAACTCGGTGTGATTTTAACTGCTATACGGCGTGCAATCTCTTTGCCAGAAATACTCATCTTACATCGACAACATGCTTTATACTACTCAGACACTCTCCCATTACATTTACCTGCATATCTGCGCATGTGCTACCGTACATCACCTTACTTAATCTCCTGATTGGTCTTTCTGTCCGCTCTGCCTCTTCGTTCAGCTGATATGCTAATTTTTCGAATTCATCCTTAATTTTTGCACACCAGTGTATATTCTCCTATTATTCGCTGTGTATCCTCTGCATGAGCTATCACTGATTATGAAATGAAACTGCTGCAAATACTACAAAACAGTGTCTAAGTTTATTACTGAAACCCAAGATCTGCTCCAGAACCAGTGCAGTCTGTGTGGCTGCACAAGGCAGCAGGATTTAGAGGATGCAAAATGTTTTGAATTTAGAGAAGCACCAAGCAACAAAATTTAGGAACGACAAAATTCTTAGAATTTCTAGGAGGCACTTGATGGTAGAATTAAAAGGCGACAATTTTTTTTTTTTTTTTAATTTAGGAGGACACAGGGTAGCAAAAATTAAGACCCGCAGAGTTTGCACCGGATGACAAACTGCCTAGATTTGCTGAAGCCTTCTCTTCATCAGATATATTGAGATTTAATATGGGGAAAGGATTTTCTATACGCTTGCAAAAAGCGATTTTTAATAAAGCAAAAAACTGCACTTATGTTGAGTATGGTGACAGTATCGTATTTTTGAAGGTGACGATATGTATGATGAAGATAGGTAATACATATAGATCAGTTTTCTTTGTTTTTCTTATATTCTCTTTGATGACACAGGTATTAAAATTATTACATAGTGTTATTACTTTTTCGAGAATGCTAAAAGTGTTTCATACCCTTCTCTTCCATTTCCATGTTCTTCTGCACATATTCCATGAGCATGCCTCTACATGCCGCCCAGACGATATAGTGGTTAGGGAAGCCTACTACGGTACCAAAGGACCCGAGTTTGAGTCCTGGAGAAGGCATAGATGTTCGTAAATGTATAGCGTCTTTGCGGCATGGAGGCACTCTTAAATATACAGCGAGCCGAATGTCCTCTCGTGTGGATTGGTGGTAGAGTAGAGGAGTGGGAGACCTCCGGGGTGCTCTTCTTCAAAATTGGGTTGGAGATAGAAGTCCAACCTCCTTAAGGAGACTCATACACCTTAAACCCCTTATGATCTTCGAATATGTGACTGTTGCAAGAATTGGGATATTTTTATTTATTTTAAAAGCAATTACTTCCAACTTTTTACAGCTGACTACATAATATAGCTGCTTTGGAAAATAGTAACCAGAAAGTTTGTGTTACCGCAAATATTTTTGTAATTTAATCCTCCTTGTGACAAAATATTTCGCCGTGTTTCCACCTTGCGCGCATGATATTTTAAAAATGACTAATGGTACATACTTGAAATTTGATGGAATTCTTTATATGGGCACTACTTTCTAATTGAACCAACAATCTGATGAATATTTTAATACTGAAAAATTTTATGGACGAAAACATTAAAAATTTTGTTAATAAAATACATTTTATAAACTTAACTCCAAATAAAATAAAAATTTAACATGAAATTTTTAGAATTTTAGGTTTACGGTAGTTTCCAAATGTTATAAAAGCTATATATTAAATATGGAATTAAATTATGAAACAGAATGTTTCAAACTGTGCGCGCAAGGTGGAAATACGACGAAAAATGTTGTCACAAAGCGGATTAAATTATAAAAACATTTGTGGCAACACAAACTTTCTGATTACTATTTCAGAAAGCAGCTATATTATGCAGTCAGCTGTAAAAAGTTGGTAGTAATTGCTTTTAAAATAAATAAGTTATCCCAATTCTTGCAACAGTCACCTATTCGAACATCTTATGGATTTTAAGGTGTACGATTCTCCTTAAGGCTCTGGAAACCATTTTTTTCATGAATTTCATGGAAAGGACAACAACAACATGCAACTTACATGAACAACATGTCACTTTGGCTTCCGAAAACAATTATCCTTTTTTTACTTTTTTAATAACTAACAATTGACCGCAATTATTGACAATAGGAAAACGATAGGCTTCATGGCACTCCATACAAAAATGCATATTGCTGCGATGTATCTTGTTTAAAACTCTCAGTTATTCTCCTTTTTATAATTGGAATGTACTTACGAGCATATTGTGTTAAAGAATCACAAGGAGTGCAGTCCGAAGAACCAACGTCAGAATAAGTATTTTCGGGACAAGGAGTGCACAGTTTAGAACCAAGACTGCTGTAGGACCCTGGTGCGCAAGGACTGCATTCTGATGTATAAGCCACACCTAAAAGCAAAGATAAGGAAGTTAGCGGTATCTACACAACAGCTGTTCACGTCATAAAACGAAAACGTTGTTTTTCAAACTTACCGCTAATTTCTATTTTCTTAATGCGAACTGGCTGGGATTTCCTCGTGTTTTCTGAGAACCCCATTCCTACGGTTTTCCAGTAAAGGACATTCAGACCCGCTTTCAGCTGAACCTGCAAAGATGAATGTTTAAGATGCAATACCTTTCAAATCGGGGATTAAATGAAAGTTGAAGCTGTAATTATAAAAAAAAAATTATTTAAATATTATTACTGTTGACGTTCTCCATTTAGCTTCGTCAGTGGTTCTGGGCCACTTATATTTCTCAACATCATCGATGGATTGGCACTGGTCATTTTGAGCCTGGAAAGAAACAAAGAAGCACTTGGTAAAAACTTTTGAAATAAACAATTTGCGATAGCTAATAGATTCAGAACTGAATAAAAACGTTCTGATGCATCTTGAGGTCCCCAGTCAATCTATTGCTTTGAAAATATGGCTCTTAAATTTAAAATTTGACACAGCTCATAATCATTTCTGTAATTTGGCTTTGGATTCAGATGAGATATCCCAAAGCATTTCAAAAAATGAGCTGATGTGAACCGATTTCCTAATACATTATTCTAAATCTGTCTTCTTAACTCTTTGAAGGGCAGGTTTTCTTTTAAATCATTTTTTAATCTCTCTCTTTTTTTTTAAGTTGACTATGTGCAATAATTTAATAGGTTACATCTTTCCCCCATGCAGGACCAACGATTTTACAAAAGCCCCATAAATATATGACAGTTGTGTCAGGATTAGCACCCGCATGTAGACATTTAGCAAATCCAGAAAATCCACGGCAGTGAATTTTTCAGGCAGAGTCCTCCTATCTTTACTTTATCTAACACAAGTTTCTGTCTATTCTAACAGCGATTCCTAACAGTCTTTTGATTGCTTCTTTGCTTAATTTTAAGTAGTTCCTAACAGGATACTCTTTCCCCGTACAACAATATCGAAGCTTACATGTAGACTGAAGTTCTTAGCCGTCTATTCGACTGCGTTCCCGGAGCAGGGTGGTGCACAGAGTAGATGGTTTCTGCTAGGAAGATATCACACTGTGAGGCTAAGGCCAGGTCAGTGGTCTTCCATGGTGGCGCTCACTCACTCACTCACTCACCTACAGTAACCACATTTCCTGTTGAACGTCTTACTCACTCGTGTGTGTGGTTTTAAAGACTGACTGTTTCTGAAGTTCCCTTGTAGCTCACTAGATGGCAATCAAGAAACATAAGCCAGTAGGTGATGCAGCAGTTCGTCTTCAAGAAAATAAGCATCAGTTATCGAAAACAACATCACGACGATGTGCACTCTGCAGCACCAAAAAACGGCTAGTAAGAACAGTGTGGGAATGCAGCACATGCAAAGTTGCACTCTGCTTGAAAAAGAAAAACTGTTTCCATGAGTACTATAGACACTGTATTGTAGGGATGTGTTCTGTGGGGCGGTGGTCACTGACACTAACCACCAGAAGTGGCCATTTTTTTCACATGTCTTGGACAAAATATGTATAATTAATTGTAGCAAATAATTTCATTTTAACACCTGACATAGTAAATAAAACAAGAGTTTTGCTGAAAACGTAAATTGCCTTTTCTTGCACCTCAAAGAGTTAAGAAGATAGACTGCTTCCATTGGTCACTCAAAACGGGCTTTTTAATACTTAATGGATTTTACAGTCACGTTCCATTTTATGTTTATCTTTTACTAATGAAAAGTAAATTATTTGTTTTGTAGTTCATCTAAATGATATCATAAATCTGTTGAAGCGGTTCTGATAGATGTTTTGGCATGCGCCACACTACATTTGCTAAAATTTCTATTCTTCAAACGTCATTTTATATTTGCCTTTATTTCTCTATCCTTTTATTGCTCATCTCGCAGAAGAATTATTAAATTTCCTGCCTGCAATTTGAGGATTTTCGTGGCACTCATACGAATACGTTTATAATATCAAGATATTTCCAGAATATTTGCTATGGTTATGAAAGCCCTGGATAACCAATCTTTGGAATCTTACTCGTCAAATTTCTGGTGATGCGCATAGAATGTTATGAATATCAATCTTATGCTAATCACTTATACACTCAATAATCGTCCAGCTTGGATTGGATTCCGTACGCGAAGGGATTTTTTTCCCGCCGAGGCAAACACAAACAATTCGTAAGACAGCCTCCATTAATAATTGTACAATACTGTTGCGAGTGTACGGGTTCGTAGTCGACTGAATGCACACCGAATGATGAGAGCTTGACAAAAATTTCTTTTATCAAAAGAAGTACTTCACAGTTCTGGAACATTCCACTAAAATACTCGTACAGCTCTTCACTGTATCACGGAGTACAATCAGTAGTTGCATTACAAACTAGTTACATTTCAATACTCCGCATTCATCTCTGAACTAATAACTACTAAAATGCTTTGAACTAACTTTGAATCCAAAAAAATGCTTTGAACTAACAACTACTGCGCCAAAAAATGCTTTGAACTAATAACTACTGTGCCAAAAAATGCTTTGAACTAACAGACAGACAGACAGAAAGAAGTACAGGAGGCACCCAAACATCGCCATGGGCAAAACTGTATCGCCCCACCCACTGCACTAACCATCTATAGAAAAAAACCCTGACCGGGCACGCTAACACCATGCTCGGGAATTAGTTTACATTGCAGCATTCATAATACACAATTATATATTAATGGTGCATAATTTGCATTGCAGACAATATTGTCTCAGGATACTTTACACGGGCATTTTGCAGTTGGATGGATAGATACAATAGTTACAATGGATAATTACAATAAGTTATTTACAGATGTATATACATATTTCTTTTGTGTTTCGGTTTGGAGCTTTGTTGGTGGGGGGAGTGTTTATGATATGTGGTTCGTTGTTTGTTTGGATTTTTTGTTACACGATTCACAGTTTATAAATTATGATTCATAGTGAAGTTCATAATACAGCATACAGTTTAAGAATTCATTTCATGGTGCATAGTGCTGAGTACGTAGTACTGGTGCATCTGTCACACATTGCGCAGTATGAAGTAGTTCATAGTTCGTGGTATGTGAAAAGTTACGGTTTTCTCAATAAATGGATATATTTTAAGTGTGTTTTCTAAAGGCACTCTTGTATAGTATGAGGGTGAGAGTGAATATTCTTATTGTTGCGTTTTATGAACTTAGAGGATTATTTGGGGTTGTAAGCTATGGGATGACACAGGTTCAGTCCTTGGCGGTGCAAGAAATCAATAATATTTTTGATGTTTTGGAAAACTTTACGGTGCATAATAATGAATCTTCTAAATTCTATTCCAGTGTCGGTGGGATGGCGAATGTGATAGGCTGACGTTAGCGGACACTGAAATATGTAATGTTCAGGGTCTCCGCATTCCCCGCATATGCATCTATCCGACGTAGCCATATTGCGATCACAAAAATACTTGGGGAAGGGACCGTGACCCGAGATGTACTGGGTGATGAAGTATGTTGAAATTGTGGTATTTTCATCAGCCTTGGGTAGTAGTTCGATTGTACGCCGTCCTTGTGGTCCTTGTTCCCATTGACGTTGCCACTTGTCATTCGCCATTTGTTTTAGTTTGTATTTTAATGCTGATTTAGGCCAAGGGAAATGAATTTGAGATCCTGTTTGTTCTAGAGTTGCCTGATTTGCTAGATAATCGGCCCTTTCATTGCCTTCACAGGCGTTATGCCCTCTGGTCCATGACAGAACAAATTTCTTATTACTTGTGCTTATGATGTCTTGAATTTGCCGGGTTATAGAAGAATTTGTGTGCTGTTGTTTGATGGCATGTATGGAAGACTGACTGTCGGTGATTACGTGGATGGTATCTGTATTTAAGTCATTAAGTTGCATAATGCTGTTTAGTATGGCAACAACAACTGCGCCAAAAAATGCTCTGAACTAACAACTACTGCGCCAAAAAAATGTTTTGAACCATGGAGGTAAGAAAGGAAGGAGTGGCCAACCGGCACTAGAAGTGAAGCACTGTTTCGAAGCTTCGGTCACCAGACGGGGTGTTCTTTGTTTACATTCAGAAGCTCGCTTGACAATGCTCTGATAGTATTTCGACACACGACAGTTCCCTACAAATCGAAAAAGGGACACTTTCGCATGAAAGAAACATTCACAGTGTGATGTAAATAGCAATTTGTATAGTTTAGTGACATTTACGCAAAAATCACATCTTGGTTATTTTTCGATAACTAACAACAGCGATTTTAATTATGAATTTTTTTTATAAAATTCTAAGCTGTTGAACTACAAAAATATAAATTTTTAACAAAAATGTTATGCTTAAAGAATGAAAAAATACCTTACGGTACCTTTAAAATTGTATACGTCTTTCGATACCCTTGATAGAGTATTCGCTACTTTTATTTTATGTTCCAAACGCCAAAATGTTTTAAATAAAATAAATTTTTTTTACATCCATATATTATTTGACATGTACCTTTTAAAATTTTTTAGAGGAGAGGAATTACTGTGCTCATTTTAAACTCATCATTTTAATTTTATATATCTGAAAAATAATCCCTTTGGGCTTACACGTTTTACTTATTTGGGTTAATTAAAAATAAAATATAGTGAATGCACAGAAATTAAAGATTTGCACATGCCGGAAATGAAAAATATGAAATATGTATGGGTATTTATGCATGTGCTTGCAAAAAGCATGTATCTGCCTTTAACAAAATACATAAATATTCATTAAATTATTTATAAATGTATTTGAAATGAAGAATTTATTCATTTATAAACAACTGTGAAGAAGTCTAATTATTAAATGTATCTAATTTATAATGATTATAAATGTTATCTAAATATATAATAACGTTAATATTGAATTGTAAACATAAATTGAAATCCTGTTGACAAAAACTATTTAAGCAAGAATTGTTCGTACTGGAAAACAATCTGTTAAAAGGCATTGTAAAGCAAATGCTATGAGATGCGCACTTAAGAAAGTAATAAAGAGTTTTGGAATATGTATTGTTGAAATTAAGGGTAAAAAAAATCTGATAAGTATAATTAAAAGAATAATTCCCCTTACATTTTATAATAACTCAGTTACAAGTTTTAAATAATACTTTAAAAAAATCCTTATTTTATTCCCTTTCAGAAATGTTCAGAGAAAGTTAAGTACTATTTTACGTATTTCGCTAATGTCTAATAATTCTCTAATTTAAAATGAACCGAATAGAACATTAATTATAAATTGACTTATATTTTTTGATTTAAAAGATGCCTCAGAAGGCAAAAAAATCATGTCATATTTAAGAAAGTATTTTAGGAAGAAGCTCTATAAATAGAAAAGTAGTAATGCATAATTTTAATATTAATAATACAATAAACTTTGATCTTAATTTTTGAACCTTAACCGAATAAAATCGAATTACCTTAAATTTTTTTTTCTAATGTAATTAACGAAAATTTGTGAAAATATTTCGTTCAAATTAAACCATTCTGAGAAAACTGTTCTGCGAAAAGTATAGCATTTAATTCCATTCAGAATGAAATGTTGTTTAAAAATATGTTGTTTTCATATACTTAGGACTGTGAAGTTCTTAAGCGTAGAGGAAATGATGTCATCGGAAGCCAAGCACGAGGAGGGATTTTTCATTATGTGTGTGGCGCGGTACAGAGTGCTTATATGCGGGCCGGATACTGTTATAGTTGCATGTATAGATTAATTACAGTACCCATTACATATACATATAGTTTTATGACATTACAGTAACATATAGTTTCATGACATTTTTATTCCAAAAACTTACGGTTTTGTATATTTTTTCATACCAAAAAATATATATTTGATGTCATTTTTATTCCAAAAACATCAGACTTTTATGGAACTTTGTTCATATCTAAAAAACACATTTTATTCGAAAAACTTAAGATTTTTTTCATTTTTCCTCTAATTCTTTAGAGTCTAACATATCTCAAAATATGTAAAGAACATACATATTTTGTTAAAAAAAAAACTTGCCATGTAAAAAAGTCTTTCAGGTTTTTGGAAAAGTGTCCCAGAAATGTCATTTTGACCCAATCTTTTATTCTAATAAACTCAAAATTTATTACAAACATGAAAATACTCGATGAAAGACATTTGAAGTTGAGTGTTCATAGCCTGCAAGATTACATCATGGTTATTGTTTCAAGGAACTTAAAAAGTTGTATATTTTTCTTACCTCAAAATTAAACAGAATGGAAGGATCTGTATACTGGTAGGTATAGGAAAGTACACCAGGCTTGACCAGCTTTACAGAATAGGTTAAAGTCGCTGCACAAGGTCCTCCATGGGAGGAGATAAATGATTTCTGTGGTTTCCAACCATACCTTTGATTTAAAAAAAAAAAAAGTATATATTTATTAAGCACAAATAAATAAATAAATAAATAAAGTCACTGGCAGCTACATTTATTCTCTTAGATATGTTTTTGCTATAAATACTACCAGAAAAAGTACCCGTCCTAAATTTTATGGCAAAACAGTCTATATTTTTCCATTAACCGCTATTTCTTCCACGCAAGGAGCTAATACGGATATTAATGAAAGATATAATGCTATAAAACATTACGTAATTTTATGATTTTAAATTACAAATATTGACAGTTTTATGCAATGTTACGGCTCATGTTTACTTGGACATACAACAGGAACTGCAATAATCTGACGTAACTTGAACCAACGTTGCCTTGGCAGATTGAAATTTTAAACAAAACAGATGGCAACCGTTATTAAAGGTTAAGGATTTGAAGTCCTGGAAAAACTAGAAGCGAGAAAATATTTTAGGAATTGTACACTGACTACCAATAAGTATTTGTACACCTGTGATAGAAAAGAAAAACTAACTTTATTCAAAATTAATAGTTGGTAGAGCCTCCACGAGAGGTAATTACAGCGTGGACCCTCCGGGGCACACTTTCTACAACTCTTTGTATGACAACTAATGGTATTTTCTTCCACTCGGCTTGGAGAAGACATAGAAGTTCCTTCACCGATTTCGCACGGGTAGTGCATCCCTGAATTCGGCGATGCAACTCGTCCCAGAGGTTCTCGATAGGGTTCAGGTCTGGACTCTGGGCAGGCCAGTCCATTCGATGAACTCCATTGACACCATACCAAGCCTTGGTTAACGTCGAAACATGACAACTGGCATTGTCGTCCTGAAAGTAACAATTGTCCAACCCGTAAAACTGCCACAACGTAGGAAGCACGTTGTCATCCAAAATAGTGCAGTAGGCATCGGAGTTGAGCTTACCATGAATGGGGACCAAGGGTCCTAGCCCATACCAGGAGAAACACTCCCAGACCATAATTCCACCTTCGTCGAACTTGACTGTTGGCACAATGCATTCTGGCAGGAGACGTTCTCCAGGTAGTCGCCAGACCCAGACCCTGCCATCCGAACGGTAAAGGGTGAACCTTGATTCGTCACTCCAAAGAACCCGTTTCCATTGATCTATGGTCCAATTTAGATGTGCTTTGCACTACATTAACCGAGCAGTGCGCTTGGACTTTGTGATCAAAGGCTTATGGGCAGCAGCACGACCATGAAATCCAAGCAGATGTGCTTCTTTACGGATGGTATTCTTTGAAACAATACTCCCGGATGCCTGTTGAAACTCCTCGCGGATGAGGGCCATCGGTTGGGTGCGGTTCTTCCGAATTTCTCTGGACAGCACTCGTCGGTCCCTATCTCCCAGTTTCGTTGGTCTGCCGACTCACCGATGTTGTTCCCTACACGATATACACGATGTTGTTCCCTACACGATATGTTTCTTATATTGACTTCCATGTACGAAATTGTAATGCGAAAAATTTCGGGTATAATATTTCAACGAAAATAGCCATTCTGACTGCTATCGAATGAAATTTAACGATGTTTTTGCGTGACATCTCTACGTAAAGACAGAATAAAGGACTGTTTTCCCCCAAACGAATTATGAACTGATTTAAAATCGATTTAGAAGAGATTTTTTTCCCTGACGTCTCTGCGTATGTATGTATTTCGCATAACTCAAAAATGAGTAGTCGTAGAAAACACTGAAATTTTGCATATGGGATTGCTATAACATGTGTCTGTGCATCACCCTTTTTCAGTGCCAGTCGGCCGCACCAAACGTATCTATATCTTTCCACGTTGTCCCCAGGCTCGGTAAGCTCAGGTTTTTTATTCTTATTTGTTGGTAAATTGTGCATCTTTTGCTTTAAAGTGATTGAATGATTTTGTTCTCATGTTTTGGTTAATGTTTTATGCCTTTCTTAATGTGAATCTGCATGCAATGATTGTAGAATTATCAGTTTTAAAGAGGCCTTAGGCCTAACGAAGCCGCAATTTGTCTACACTTGAAACTCTTAACAAAACAGTGAATTAAGTCAGTTAGTGCACCAATTTCAGTCTCTTTTTGCTCAGCGGAACCAAATATTAAGTTTTAATTTTGTGCATCGAAAATTTGGTCTTCCTGCCCATTGGCCGAATTGCTTGTTTTGGCGTAGAAACTATAATTTTAATAGCAAAAAAATTTTTTCTTGAACTTTTTTTAAGTGTATTTGGTGTTTTAGGTTTTTTTTGTATTTTACGTAGGTAAGTTGAAAAATAAGTTTTCCCTGTCGACTGTGGTCAGAGTTGTGTATGAAAGTCAAAAAATAGAATGAGACATTAAAGATATGACATACCTTTATTTTATTATTCTCGTACGAGTACGTTGAGACATTTGTCATATCGCTTGATAAGCTTCAAAAAGTCCTCCAAGAAAAATTCACGCTTTGCATATGGAAGAAGCGTTGAACGGCTATGGAAAGATTCGGAGGCGATTCGGAAAAAGCGGCCTGGCCTTCTCACATCTGGTGTTCTGCTGTTGGATGACAATGCCAGACCACATTCGGCGACGGCAACGCAAAACCATATTGCAACTCTTGGTTGGGAGCGCCTACACCATCCGCCATACAGTCCTGATCTCGCACCAAGCGACTTCCATCTATTTCCGGCTTTGAAGAAAAATCTCGAGGAAAGGCGCTTTGGAAGCAATACTGAAGTGAAACAAGCCGTTCAACGCTTCTTCCATATGCAAAGCCCTGATTCTTTCCCGGAGGGCTTTTTGAAGCTTATCAAGCGATATGACAAATGTCTCAATGTACTTGGTACCTATGTGGAAAAATAAAGGTATGTCATATCTTTAATGTCTCATTCTATTTTTTGACTTTCATACACAACTCTGACCACAGTCGACAGGGGACGTATTTTTGTCTTGCCGCTGAATTAATTGAACAAGAAATATATCTCTAATGAAAAAAGTAGGAAATAAGTTTAAATGAACTACAGAAAGTGTGTGTATAATTTAATAAGCAATTAAGGAAGTCATGTGGTGTGCACATACGATATTTTCCCACTGTAATACATAAAAAAATATTTTCAGCATAAAAATGTTGGATGTCCATAATTATCCAAATCTAACAAAGGTAGAGAGTCTTTCATTAATCATGATGAAAAAAGAGAATTTCTGAAAACCCAAGTTTTATCTCGGCTTTCTTGTCATAGCATATTTTCTGTTCATACTAATCAAATGGACAATCGAAATTGCTTACATTCTTTCCAACCTCAAACACGTAAAGAATACACTTCATTTCCGTTTCCGGCGTTCTAAAAGTTTCTGTTAACGCCAAAATTTCGCTTCCTTTAACTGCAGTTCTTAGATTATGCGTAAGTCCACGTTGTAAAGTTCGAATACATCTTTCTCGTGTAGTTCTGTTAATATTTCGAACAAGAAATTTTCATATTTCTTCCTTAAAGTTCATTGCTTTTGTTTGTTGGACTTTGCGAGGGTAATAATTTCTTGAATTACTACCGGGCAATAAATTTACTACGCTCAACAGCAGAAAAAAAAATAAAGAAAATAAAAAGAGGTCTTAAAAATAGATGCAAAACACTAAGCTGTGTTACAGTGTTTTGTTTATCAAGCACGAAAATTTTTATCACTATCACTCCTTTAGTTACGTCTGAATGATAAAAACTTGGTTGATAAAACGTAATTACGTCTGAAAGAAATAGCTACGAGATGCTTTTCCTCTCAGAAAAGGCTACTACTACAGCAGAAAGATGATTATTACACTAGAAAAGACTACTACTACAGCAGAACCTCGATTATGCGAGAAAACTGGAACCGTAATCACTTCGGATAATCGGAAATAAATTAATATTTCAATTGCTAGGTAACATTATAAGGTATTTCTCCCGTACTCTTACAATGCCTTTGTGGTGTAGTGGTCAGCACGCTCGAAGTGTATTCGAGAGGTCCGTGGTTCGAGTCTCGGCTAGGGCATTGCTCATTTTTCACATCTCCTGCTTCGAAATAATCTAGTGTCTCTACAGTGGCGCCCGAACTGAAAAAGGTGATGGACGATGATTCGCCACGACCAGTATTTGGCGATTGGGTCCCCTAATTCCCAGTCGACCTTCAAAAGGGGGAGCATATAAGATATTTCTCCCGCCTTTTAGCCTGCCTTCGTGGTGTAGTGGTCAGCACCCTCGACGTGAATTCGAGAGGTCCGTTGTTCGCGTCCCGGCGAAGGCATTGCTCATTTTTCATCTCTTCTGCTTCTGTCTCTACAACATTTGTTTCCTTTAGTGAACTCAGTTTTTTAGTTTTATATGTTTGTAAATTGTACAAATTGGGCATTAAAAGGGATTGAATTATGTTGTTCTTACGCTCCGGTTAAGGTTTTTATGCCTTTAGTTAATCTGCATGCAATAGTTACAGAATTATCAACAATTTAAAAGTTGTTTAAGTGCCACTAAACCTAACAAACCGCCACTTGTTTACATTTGAAACTAATGAATTCAGTTTCTGCATCTCCAGTGTGTTTTTGCCGAGTGGGACCAAAAGTAAACTTTCAGTTTTGTGCACCGAAAAATCTGCCTTCTTGCCCGATGGCCGAATGGCTTGTTTCTGCGCAGAAACACTGATTTTAATTGTAAAAAAAAAAAAAAAAAAATTAACTGTTTTAACTGTATTTGGCGTTTTATGCTTTTTTGTATTTTTCAATTTTTTAATGAAGACGTTTTGAGGGTTTATGCACTTTTGCTTTGCCGCGAAGTGAGAACCGAGTTGATTAAATGAGAAATCTATCTCTAATGAAATTCGAGGAAACATTTTTAAATGAAATGCAACAAAAATGTGTATAATTTAATAGGCCATACAAGGAAGTCATGTGAACCATCCTTTGTTAGTTTGTCTTATCAAAATTGTTTCATTAGTAAGATGGCTAACAAATTTTTTAGTCATTTTATTATTAACTTTTTATGTCTTAACATTTTTTATTAAATATGGCGCTCTTCTCACTTACGCCACATACAATTCAGTTCAACAGAAAAATCACAAAATATTTAAAAACGGCATCATAACTTTACAATTTCCGACAGACAGTCTCTTGAGCCGAAGATAAAAATGCTTTATTCCGTACAGTGGACGCCACTGCTCGCTTGAGGATGATTGAGCTTGTTAATCAAACGTCATTCTAACAAAATATTGAATGTTTTTAATTAGAGAGGTCCTAAATTAAATACATTTTTATTATTCAAATCAATCCGTTTCAAAAGTAAGAAATGAATATTCTTAATAAACTTATGTGTTGCTTTTAAACAGCATAATTCGTTAATCCACATCATACAGATTCAGTTTGAATGATAAATGTCTCACATTTACCGAATGGCAAGAGATTCGAATGAAAAGCAAAATCCCAGTGATTTTCACATTTACCGTTTTAACATCTTCCACTGTATCACTGTAATTTTTATTGTTCTCCGGACCTATGCCACGAATTATATTTTGGTTCCTTGTTTTCTATGTTTATCCCTTCCAAAACATCCTCATTTTGCGCTTTGCAACATGTTTACGAACCAATTGTCAGTTAGCGTTGCTTAACACATGCAAAGCATATATTTTATTGAAGCGCACAATAGAAAGACCGTTAACTAACACAACAGGATACGAAAACCCAAAATATCAATCACTGATCAGAGAATTCGCAAATGTGGCTGTACTCTTTTTGATGTTTACTGGATTTCTTTGAGCAGAGTGTTGGAATGCTTAATGGAGACTGCGTTCGGCAGAGAGTTTGTTACCAGAAGTTAAAACAAACTTGTTAATCGAATTTATAAAATAGGGTAGAAAAAGTCATACAAAATGAAGACCTTAAATACTGGGTTATTTAAATAGTTTTCAAATTTTTTAAAATTTTATTATAAAAATAATAATTTTGTTTTAAAATAAATAATATGCTTTACTAAATAATTTTTTTAATATAACAAAGCAGTATATTAATTTATGTGATGGACAGGTTTCTATGTTTGTGTGCCAAACTTCTAGAAACGGAGATTTTAGTTGTGGAATCTAGGAATCTCGAGATTTCTCGCGACAGGATTTTCAAGATGTTCTCTATTGGTATATTTAATGGATTTAGAATATGCATTTTCGAATTTGCACGTCATGCGTCTTCCAAAAAGCAGCATGGTCACCCTGCTAAATTGCAGATGGAATTCTACAAGAAATGTCGAGAATTCTTGCTTTGACATTTGAAGTCAGAGATGCATTTGCAGGATCGAAGATATAGTTTTTTGTAACAGAAAAATACGAAAAGAAAAAGACGAACAGAAGAGCCATAATTATTAAAGTGAATATGAGTAGAGTTACAAATCAAATCTTTTGTATGTAATCCTTTGTTTGCTTAACGTTACGTGACAAAATTTTAGTGCCTACTTAACACCTATTATCTTTTTTTGTTGCCTGGCTCTTCCGCCCCGGTATAGTTTTCTTTCTAAGAACTTGGCTTTCAGCTTTAAATGAAGAAAATACGAGAAGAGTAGGAATTATTTTAGTTTTCTAATAGTTATTTTAAATTTCGAAACCCTTTCATTTAAATTCTTGTTCTCCACCTACAACTCCCTACCAGAATGGTTTAGATTGGTTTATGTGATTACGGCAAAGCCTCGAGGGATATCCGCCTAAGGGGAGGGGTGCCTTCGTGGAATAATTTCTAAGGGAAATTGGCTTGTATACACGTTACACATGGGAAAAACCAGAAAAACGCCCATAAAGCTAGCCCGTTTGCGGGATACGAACCTCAGACCGAACTACCAGTATTCAGCGACCAAAATGAGTTTTCGGTATCGCGTTTAATGTAAACGAAGTACAATCAGTATTTAATGGGAAGTTCAGTACTTCTGTAGAAAAGCTCAAACGTTCTCAGTAGAGCGTGTTCTGCCTTCGGGCCACGTTGTTACTTTAAGCCTATCTTACTACGTTCGGCCGTAATCTTACGTCAGCCTGTTAGTATTCGCCTGTGAAGTTTAATTACCGGGCAACTCGGTTAATTATTCCTGTACAGCTTCGGCTAATTTTTAGTCAGTTCCAATTAGCTTAGTTTCTTATTTCCTATCTGAAGTTAAAACCCAAGTGAAGACTATAACCCTGAGAGGGGCTAACTGTTATTATTTCTTTGAGTGAATAAAAGGGTATTTTAACCCTTCTTCGGATTTTATCCCCATAATCATAAGATGACCAGAGAATAGTCGCTAGAGTCTTTACTAAAGTTCTAGTAGCTAAGAACCCTTAAATTAATTAGAACTTTATAATATATTTACAGAAGAAGTTATAACTAATTGTCGATTTACACTTTTTAATAGCATATCATAAGAAAAATGTAATTCCGCATTTAAAGACAAGCCCAGATGTCATAATCATCAAAGGTTAAGTCTTCAAATTCAGACATTCCATCCTTCTCACAACCTACTTATAGAAAGACCAAGAGAGTTGAACTTACTCGGAACAGTTGACGCCACTGTCAACGTTGAAACTGTGGAGCATTCGGAAGCTGCTCTCGAACGATTCCAAGGACACGTGGAATCCCAGGGGGAGATGGTCCCATGAGTCGAACTTCACGCCCCCGCCCAAAGAATAGGTTCCGGGAGGACACGAAACGCACTCTAAGGTAGAACGGTTGAAATAGGTACCCGCTTCACACGATATACCTGAAAGAAAAATGGATAAATAAATATAACCGAAATAAAAAGAAAACCTTGTACCATTCTTGAATAATAAATATCGTTTTCTCATTAAATAATGTTTCTTTTCAGCTCTACAACTGAGGTTTAGAAGTGTAAATGAAATAACTGAGGAAGTGATCATATATTCCTAAACAGAAGTACGGTTTTTTTAAAAAATATTATTGTATTATTACCATTATTTTCACTATCCTCAAATCATCATTATTACCATTATTATCAAATTGAATTACTAATCAATCGCATTCTTACTATTTCGGCAATCTAATTCCCCCCCCCAAAAGTTAAAGTTCATAAAAGATGTAAATAATACTTTTATTCATTTATTCGTGACGAGGCCCAACCGGTGTGATGGTTAGCGCCGCTGACTGAGGCGCCGAAGGACCCGGGTTCGAATCCCGGAGAAGCCATGGATGTTTGTAAATGTATAGTGTCCGTGTGGCATGGGGGCACTTCAAGTATGCGGCGAGCCTAAAACCCTCTCGAGAGGCTGATGGTAGGGAAAGACGGATGCGAGACCCTCCGATCCCTTCTCCCCCCCCGAGGTGTTTTCCATCAAAATTGGGGGCGGATCCTCAGCTAAACCGCACTGTCATCTCTAAGGTGCTCAAGGCTTCTGCCAATCTCAGGCCTAAACTTGCGCTCCTTGCCACGAAGAATTTCGTGGTAACCCAAGACCACGAAGGCCTATAGGTCAGACAAGTGAGCATTAGCAACAACAATGACAATTTATTCGGAACTCTGAAATTTTTTTAGCTCAGTTTTAAAATTTTATTTTGCTTCAACAAAAATAGGAAAATGTTAAATAAATTTTTCTTTTAAGCATTTTTTAAAATTTTTCTTTTTATAAACTTGATATACCGGAGCAGTAATTTTGAACTCCTTCAAATGTAGCTGTAGATAAACTATCGATTGCATGCAGATTTTCAGATGAAATCTCTGAATAGTTTGAGATCGTGCCATGCATGAAACCTATCGACTGTCATGCATATACAGTACCCGGATAACGTTGTACCCCTATCACCATACCTTTTTGGCATAATCTCCATTTTGCTAAGTCTTCCCATAACGCATGCGTTCTGGAAGATTTCCTCCATACACTCAAGTATCTGCAATTCCTCAGTCTCTCGCTATCCCACATTATTGTTTAGATTTGAAATTCATTTCAGTTGAAATATTAGTTAAAAATGCCTTTGCAGCTATAATTCTTGAAACTGAATTTCATTCTTCTAATTTAATATTAATTTTTAACCACGTTATTAGGACCCAAATACACAACTAGAAGCATTTTTACATGTAGAACTGTTAAATTGTAATGAAAAGACTTCCGTAAAGTGCTGTTAGTTGATCTTCTGTTGTCAATCAATTTTATGAAAGACTCCATTTTTATGAACTCCACTTTTATGAATTTTATGAAACCATAAGATCCAGTGCAACAGCAATATCGCAAAATAGTTTTAAAACGAGCATATCTTTAGAATTTCCGATACAGAGACTCACGCGCTGGAGATAAAAATGTTTTTTCTGCACAACGTTGCCATTGCTCGCTTTGAAATCCTTGAGTTTGTTAATCAAAAATTCGTCAAAGTTTTAAAAAATAGGAAATCGATCATAAACAAATTTCAAATTTCAAATTTGGTCTTCCACATGCTCATATTCGTTGGAGGATTACGTTATTCAAAATTCGATGACTCTATGTACCGTTGTTTTATCACAATACGAGAAATATACATACATTTACGCAGATTTTTCATTATTTAATTCTTCAAATATAATGCAGGACTCTAACATTTTGTGGTAACAGTTTGAAAAGTGAACCGACATTTATGAGTCCGACGTAAAATGCCAAAACGAAACTAATAGTCCTTCGGGATTCAAATTCCTTTGGACTAAAAAAAAAAAAAAAAAAAAAAAAAAAAAAAAAAAAAAAAAAAAAAAAAACTGTAAAGCGACGAAAACAAGAATGAAGAGCTACGAGTTGAGTTTCGAGAGATGTATTCCAGGAATCCAAAAACTCGTGGGAAGCCATTTCGACCATTCTCATCTTCGAACGACTTTAATCAGACGATATATTAAATAAAAGCTCAGAAAACGCTAATTTTCGCACTGATTTTTTCCGAGTGGGAACAGTCTTGCACGCTGGAGATAAAATTCTGCTTGATTTCGAAAAGTGTTGCCACTGCTCGCTTTCAAACTGTAAAGTTTGTTAACAAGAATTTGTAAGTTTTACAAAATATGAAATAAAAATTGCACTGCCAAACATTAATAGTATTATTATATAAAGTCACTTTCTGACGTTAAAAAAGCAGGCGATTGCATGTGACGTCATTGTATGTCGAAAATGTTTCGTTAATGTGAGCATTTTAAATAAATAGCTGGTGTTGCCATTTTTGTTTCAATAAATCGATTACATTAAATTTAAATCATGAAGTCATACATATAAGCCTGAAGGGTCAAAAGGTTTTGTTCCCTAGATTAGCAACAACAAAAAAATATATTTACGAATTGGTTGCCGCTGGGAAAGAATAAACTGATTTCATTCGCATTTGAAATACTTTTATGCATTTGATTTTCAGGCATATACAGAACTTATAAATTTTGCTTTGGCTGCAGCTCATTTTTAAAAGTCGCATTTAATAAATTATCAATTCAAAGATCAGATAGTTAGGTCAACATATAAATGGTAAACTAAAGAGAATTTACTAAAAGTTTTTTTCCACAAGCAAGAACCTAACAGACGTAATGCAAATTACAATAAGAAAAAGTGTGCAATTCCTAAGCAATTTTATTTACAATAATAGCATTAAATAAGCACCCCCAGGCAACAGAGTCAAATTATACGAAACCTAAATATTTTAAAAATTCTATTTCCGTCTGGAGTGCCAGACGATTTGTTACCCTGTTTGAGTTTTTCAGTGAAGTAACATCAAACAGAGAAGAAGGATTAAAATAAACCTTTTAATTAAAATTTCAGCATAATAATTTACACGGCTCCTGCAATTAACAAAACAAACCACTGCGGCTTGTGGAATTCACAGAACATTAACTTCAAACTTAAGCATTTAAAGTACAAAACCATTCGGCAATGTGCTACTATAAACTTTGGCTCAAGCCTCCTAATAACGGAAGTAAACATGGCCAGCAAAGGGTAAAGCAGATCCAGGTAAATCTAAGAACTGGGAGTATATAATACGGAGAAATTCAAAAACTCAATTAACTTCAAGCATTCTAATCTTACACACATTAACTAAATTTGCATTCGGGTGACAGCTGACGAAAATACAAGTGACAGACCATGTAACAATAATAAAAAATCTGATGTGTACACCACATGACTTCCTTGTACGGAATATTAAATTATACGCATTTTTTCTTGCACTTCATTTAAACTTATTAGATTGAATTAAACCTACTTCGCCGACAGCGCATAAACCACAATAGAATAAATGCATTCTTTAAAATTCACTTTGTTTACCATAGCGACACTCTGGCGCTAGCTTTACTTAACAGTATTATACTTCGTTCATAATATAACTCAGAATGCACAAAATTTATATCATCTTAAGAATTATCTAATCGTTGCCACATGTTCTATTCAAATAATATAGTTAAATCTAAAAAAATGTATAAAAGAAATGAAGAAAAAAAAAAAAAAAAAAAAAAACCGAAAGAAACTTAAACAATTTTAAAATTGTTGATAATTCTAAAAATATTGCATACAGATTTACTAAAGGCATAAACACCTTAACCGGAAGATAAGAACAACATAATTCAATCATTTTTAAAGCAAAAAATGTACAATTTACAAACATGTAAGAGTAAAGAAACTGAGATCACTGAGACGGGTAACAGAGTGGATATATATATACGTATATTATATATACGTTTTGGTGTGGCCGATTGCAACCAAAATACGAGGTGCACATCTACATGTTATAGCAGTCCTATATACAAAATTTCAACGTTCTGATTCTACTCGTTTTTGAGTTATGCGAGATACGTACGTACATACGTTCGTACAGACGCCACGATAAATTCTCTTCAGAATTCATTTTAAAGCAGTTTTATAATTTTTTTGGAGGAAAAGAGTGTTTTATTCTGTCCTTACGTACAGATATCACGGAAATACATCGTTAAATTGCATTTGAAAGAGGTCAAGATGGGATATTTTCGTTGAAATATGCTGCCTGAAACTTTTCGCGATTACAATACTTCCTTTTTACTTCGTACAAGGAAGTAAAAATGGATTAATAAATATGGTAACTTACAATATGATTCGTTCTCTGCTCAACATATAAATAAAATAATCTCAGCTGAAGTTAATTCCTGTTCTGGATTAGTCCCCAATTTCTCACAATAACTGAAATTATGTATGTCTTAACATGCCACACGCTTCAGCCAAATCACATCAAATGATTTTTTTTTTATTTTTTTATTTGATTATGGCAAGGCACGTTAGATCTAAGGAGAAAGAAGCCTCTGTGAAGGAATTTTTAAGGGAAACTGGCTTTTTAAGGGAAATCTACGTTCCATAGGGAAAGCCACGAAAATGCCCATGTTGTCAGCCCGAATATGGCCTATGTCGAACTACAAGTGGATAGCGTCGTTAACACTCAACCGTTGGTGGGCTTCGAATTAAAGGAAATAAGCGATCGTTCAAGCGATGAACATTATGTTGATTGCGGCAAAGCACATTAGAGCTATCTGCCTAAGAAAAGGGATGCCTTCGTGGAGGATTTTCTAAAGGAAAATGTCTCGTATACTTGTTACACATGGGAAAAACCACGAAAACGCCCATGCAGCCAGCGCATATCACTCGGAATCGAACTCAGGCCGGAACTACCAGTGTTCAAAGATTTTATCGCTCGGCCGCTGGTGAGGCTCGAATAAGTAAATTAAAAGAAGGTTAGGCGTAACAAATCAAAATGTGAAAAGACTAACTAGTTAACAACATTTAAAAATGATCTCGTTATCAGATGCTTTACTTCGTACGCCTTTTTTATGAATAGTTTCTCAATAACCTTTAGCAATTTTACGTGTTCATAAAAATTTTAAGATGCATCGAGAACAGTCACATAACATGATTATACTATTTTTTCACTTTGATTAAAATCAAGAGCAGAAATTTAGAGGAACAAATTATTTCCACTATACTTACGGCAGTCGTTAACTCGTGTTGGGGGGTTGGGAGCTCCACCCACGCAGGTCAAAGGTTTTGGAACCGAAACTCGCCACCGGCCTCCACTTTGGTCACATTCCGTGAATTCATAATGGTAGTCACGCTGCAAAAGAAAGATATCGAATTAAATTAACATAACATACAGGGGTTGGAAAAAATATGAAAACACCTTTAAAAAAAACATGTTTCTTTGCTTAATATGGTGTAGGAAACCCGTTGGCATCCAAAACAGCTTGCAGTCTTCTCGGAATGAATGAATACAGTTCCTGTATGTTTGCCAAGGGAATATTATACCATTCTTCCTGCAAAACGGTGGCAAGTTCAGATAACGATGTTGGCGGTGGATAACGAGAACGCACTTTCCGTTCCAATGTAGACCACAAAGGTTCGATAATATTCAGGTCTGGTGACTGTTGTGGCCAGGGGAGATGGGACAACTCATCCTCGTGTTCAGAAAACCAGTCCTGGACAATGTGAGCTGTGTGAACAGGGGCTTTGTCGTCTTGGAAGACACCATCACCATCGGGGAACAAAGTTTGTACCATGGGATGAACTTGATCGGCCAAAATGTTCACATAAGTCTTGGCAGTCATGTGCCCTGACACAGTTATCACGGGGCTAGCAGAGAATCACCATATGGCTGCCCAAACCATAACAGAACCCCCGCCATGTTTCACTCTTGGCAACAAGCAGTCTGTATTATAGGCTTGAGAGATGGCGTTCTCCCAGACGTAAACTCGGCCAGAAGTGGGAAACAATGTGAAAGAAGACTCCTCAACCATATTACTCGCTTCCACTGCTCTATAGTCCAGGCTTTATGACTTAAACACCCCCTTTTCCTGTTACGGGCATTAGCATCACTGATGAGTGGCTTCTCAATTGCAGCACGGCCAGCAATTCCCTGTTTATGAAGCTCCCTTCTAATTGTTTTGGGTACCACTCACAGGGTTCGGTAACACAACATTCATTTCAGCAGTAACTTTTGCAGCTGTGGTTTTCTTATTTTTTCGTCACAATTGCCCTTAATGATCGTCTGTCACGATCACTCAGGACACACTTTCGTCCGCGCTGTGATTTAGCAGATGATGTTTTTCCGCTTTTCAAATATGCGGAATAAATCTTCGATACAGTACCTCACTAAACACCTCGGCTACCTTGCTTACGGAAGCACCTACCATACGTGCTCCAACAATTTGCCCACGTTCGAAGTCTGTTAACTCTGACATAATGCAATGACAACCTCACATAACAGTAATCCGACAACAACTGAACTGTTTAGCACATTTACGAAGTTGTATAGGTGGCGTCAGTAGTCAAAAACGCCAGCGCCACCTACATATTTCATTAAAATCAATCTTTCTTTTCAAACATGCATTTCACAAGGTGTTTCCATATTTTTGCCCATCCACTGTAGAAACAAAGCATGGGAGCCTGTAACTGAATGAATTATATTTAAAACCAATCTAACGGAAGACATAGCGAAAGTTATGCAATATCTGTGACTGTCTATGTTTCTCAATAATCCATCTTTCTCTGTCATAATACTATACTGATTGCTGATATTTTAAATCTGGGGGTAAAAGTTTAAACTCGTTGGAATTTGAAGCATTTTACAGATATGAATTTAAGTAAAGTTACAATTTTGAATAGTGTAAATTTTATATTAAACTATAAAGATTTCGAAAGCATCTGGTACATGCCCCATCTGTTCGAAATGCATAAGCAGTTTATATAAAGTATCTCCAGCTTTCCTAGCTTGCCTTCGTGGTGTAGTGGTTCTGCACGCTGGGCCGGTATTCTAGAGGTCCGTGGTTCGATTCCCGGCGAAGGCGATTGCTAATTTGTCATCTCTCCGGCTTTCAAAAATTCCTAATGTCTCTACAAGTTTATTCATTTTTTATAAACCTATATCAGTTTTGAGCGTAATTTGGATAAGTCTCTCTTGTTCAAGCAGCAAAAATATTCTGCAGAATTTGAAAAACGTGGGACATACAAGGTGGGACACAAAAAAAGGAAAAAAAAAAGAGAACTGGTCCAATAAATCACTGTACCTACAGAATCAGTTCTCTATGACATTATCACCTTCAACGTAGTCCCCTTCAGCATTCACACACTTCTGCATTCGGTGTTGCCATTGTTGGTAACAGTTCTGGAAAGACGTTTTTGGAAAGCCCTTCAGGAGATTTTCCGTTTTTGCCTGAACCTCTTCAACTGAGGTAAAATGGCTTCCCTTTAAGCAATATTTAACTTTAGGAAGTTAAAAAAAGTCGCATGGAACCAAATCAGGTGAATAAGGAGGATGCCCCATTACAGTAATGTTTTTGCTGGTCAGAAACTTCTTCACAGATAGGGCCGTGAGAGTGGGTGCATTGTCCTGGTGCAACAGCAATCCATCACCCCCAACTGTGGCCTTTTTACCCTAATTCTTTGCTGAGGTCTTTTTATTACTTCAATGTAGTTGTGTTGATTAACAGTTTAACCACTGGGAACCCCCTCAATCATTACAATTTCATTAATGTCGAAGAAGACAATTAACGTTGCCTTGAATTTTGATTTTGACATGCGTGCTTCGTCTCTTTCCCCTGAAAACCGCTTACGTCATTCAAACATACGTGCACGAGACAAAGATTCATCTCCATAAGCCTCAGTTAACATTTGAAATATTTCCGTGGCTGATTTCTTAAGTTTCATAAGAAACTTGATGTTGATTCGCTGTTCGGGTTTTACATTACACATTTTTCCCGGCAGAATACACGTGTTCATTCAATGATGCAGTACTCTCAACTGGTGTGATCGGTTAAAGCCGAGGCCCACCAGTGGCCGAGCGGTAAAGTCGTTGAACACTGGTAGTTCGGTCCGAGGTTCGAATCCCGCGAACGGGCTGGCTGCATGGGTGTTTTCGTGGTTTTCCCCATGTGTAACGTGTATACGAGCCAGTTTCCCTTACAAAGTCTTCCACGAAGGCATCCCTCCTCTTAGGCAGATAGCCCTCGAGGCTTTGCCATAATCACATACACACAGTTAAGTCCGAACTGGCCGCATGGATAGAGGAGGTGTGTGGGATGACGTCACCAAACCAATTGCTATCAATTCCACTTCTTTTTCAAGCTGCACACTTAGTTTCGTTTGTTTTGCATCACACCTTGTATGTCAGCTGCTTCGAATTCTATAGAGTTTCATACAAAATAGGCATCATTCTAATGTTTGCTTAATTTTGCATTTAATACTAATATGTGTCTTTTCCATAAAATTTGCTAATTAAAAATAAGAAAATTTCTTTTAAAATTATGCTAGAAGTAGAACCTCTAACATGTACAAATATCTATAATTTTGCAGAATTTTTGCATCATGCTGTAATTTTTTAAACTAAATATACAAAAATGTACTTTTGGGTGTGGGAACAAATTCTTGGAGAGTATTTCTAAAATCCAATAACACTGCTATTCAATTAAAGACCCAACAACACTGCTATTCAATTAAAGACCCAACAACACCTACATATCTGTGTCTTTATGCTACGAATCAAATACTAAAAGAAGTCAAGTTTCTATACCCTCACCATTCTTATACTAAAGGCTTAGCCTCCAGAGGTTGGCTTTGGAAATATTTAGCATTTTAACTTTCCCTGCATAAAAATAAAATTGCATTTTTAACTGTTAATCACAGTTTTCTTTACATAAAACTGTAATTATTTTGAACACCAGATTTTCAGATCGATTGAAACCCTGATAATCAGGTTTTCTTTATCCTGTGGGTCAAATATAGTATATCTATTATAAAGCACGTGATTGATGTAATGCAATTAAAAATTATACAGTGCAAAATATTACATTTTAACTTTAAAAAAATGACGTGGACTCCGCGTTGACTTCCTTGTAAATCCTATTAAATTACATGTATTTTTCGCTGCATTTCCTTTAAACTTATTTCCTTGAATTATTCTAACTTAATTAAGACACAATAACACGCCGAATAAATACTAATTCAGAAGTCACAAGCCTTAAAATTTCGCGTCAAGGAACATGAGGCATATGTTAGAAAAAAGGAAACACAGACATCTTCTGTTTCTCAACATTGTTGGTCCGAAAATCACACTTTCGATTTTTCTGCTGCCAAAATTTTTCAAAAAACCTCTTTCATTGGAGAACTGGATTTTCTAGAGGCATTTCACATTAAAAAAAAAATCTTTCTGTTCTAGTTAACGATTCTAATTCTAATCCATCTTTGCCTTTGGCCTTTAAAGAAATTATGTTTTAGTTCTGGTTTCAAAACAGATGGCGCCACTTGCTTACTCTTGTCCAGGCTTTCTTATCTTATCTAATCATTATTTCCTATCTTGTTCATTGGCGGTTTTGCAGCTGAGGATGGTGGTTCGGTAAAACCATCGAAACTAGTCCTGTGAAAATTTTGAAAATATAACGCTGATTTTTGTTGTTTGACTTCTGAATTATTATTCTAACTTAATTAACAAATTCCTCAAGGCAAGTTGAAAATGACATCAAAGAATGCAAATTTTGAAATTAAATATACCAGTTGATTTTCATCGCACGGGAGTGGAACTTTTTATAATTTTATAATTTCATAACGAGTATAAAACTTTCCAAATATAAATGTAGGAACCTAGAAACCGCGTGAAAAGTTAGATTTCGTTTATCTGTCGAAACTTTTTTTTTTAATTGGCATTACCAAAAGGCGAATATTTTCGCCATTTAAAACTCTTCTGTAATGGAGAGTACATGATTACGACCATCGGAGAAAATAAAGGCCGTGTAAAAACTTCTAGCCGGGTAAGGGGGGAGGGCTTACTTATATATATGTTTTGTACTGCCGATTGCAACCAGAAAGGGAGGTGCACAACGAGATGTTACAGCAATGCCATAAAACATTTGAACGTTCTAGGACTAATCATTTTTGAGCTAATCCAGATAATTACAGTATGTACAGACGTCTAAAAAATCCATTTTGGAAAAAAAAAATGTAAATAAGTTTTAGAATCCGTTTTGGTAAACAGGGTCCTTTAATCAGTGCATGCGTACAGACTTCACGAAAAAAAAATTGGATAATTCCATTGAAATAGGATACCCGAAAAAATTTCGCTATTAA